AACACACACAGTGGAAGGTGTAATTTAAAATAAAATACAGAAATAATTTATTTTTTTTTTAAAAAAAAAAAGACTCACGGAATCCCTGACGACGAGTGAAGGGCTCGCGCCATTGTTGCACAGATCCAAGCAAACCTCCATACCCGAATTCCCGCATCCGACGACCAGCACCTTCCGGCCCTTGTACGGAGACCCGTTCTTATACCCGCTCGTGTGCACCACTTCCCCACCGAACTCCGCCACCCCTTCAATCTCCGGCACCACCGCCTCCGCGTTCTCCCCCGTCGCCACCACCACCCACCGGCAAACATACTCCACCTCCTCCGTCTCCACGCGCCACATCCCAATAGCCGGGTCGATCTCCGCCCGCACCACCCCCCTGTTGAACTCGGGCCGGATCCCGAACCGGTCCGCGTACTCCTCCAGGTAGCCCACGAACTGCTGCTTGGAAGGGTAAGTCGGAAAGTCCGCCGGGAAGGGCATCAAGGGAAGCTCGCAGAACTGCTTCGGCAAATGGAGTCTCAGGCGGTCGTACGTCTTCAGCTGCCACAGGGACGCGATGCAGCTCGATCTCTCCAACACAACCGACGGTATCCCCTTCTCCTTCAGGCAAGCAGCGGCCGCGAGACCCGACGGTCCCGCGCCGACGATCACGGGTCCCGGGACCCAGACGCAGCGCCTCGGTCGATCGTGCGCCGCCTTCCCCTCTATCTCCCTTAAGCAATTCATGTCCATCGTCGTAGTAGTAGCGATTTGAAGTAGTAGTGAGTAGTGAGTGAGTGAGTGAGGGAGTGAAAAGATATGAGAGCAGAGTGTGCGTACATATAGATGAATAGAATAACTAATTTGGGAATCTTGGTAACCAGATAACCTCAACTACTGCTTCAAGATTCAGATATGGGGGGAGGAGAGAGAGAGAGAGAGAACCAAAATCGGGGGGAAACATGCGGTGAAACACTCCAATATTTGGAGAATAATCGGGAATACGGGACAATCTTTCTTAAGATTATTTATGAGAAGTTGTTATCTGGAGTGAGTCTCTACTAGTATTTGAGGGAGGGAGAATAGGAGGTTTTGGGAGACCGAAGCCTACGGGGGGTTTTGGCTGTTCAATTAATCAGGCATTCATTAATGATTTTTTTTTTTTCGTTTTTTCACTCACTAGAATATGATAAATATTATTTAAACTTTGAAATGAATTTTGATGGTAGGAGTGTTGATATATAGTTTGGTTGTTTATTTTATTTTATTTTATTTTTTTCAATAATTTTCAGTCTGGAGTATGAGGAAGGAAGAAGAGAAAATGGCAGGGATGTGTGAAGCAGTAAACAGAAAGTAAAGGAAGTAGTGGGGCATATTTATAGTGTGCTGTGTGCGTTGTGCTTGAGCTGTGTGTTTGTATGTGTGCCCGCGCGCCAACATGCTCTTATTTGGGCCATCCAATTGTTTTCACTACCTTTGTTTTTTTTTTTTTTTTTCTTAGACCGATAAGTCATGGGTTCCAGTCCCCGAGGGGTAGAAATGTGAATACTATTGATCTTCATTTTTTAAAAGAAAAGAGAACCGGACGCAAGTCCCAGAGAGCAAAATACAAATTGAGAGGACCACTTCTAAATGGTCTAGAAACAAACTCCTACAAAGACTAAAGACAGGTCAAATTAACTGAGTCATTTAGACTCCCACAAAGACTAAATGGTCTAGAAATAGACTCCCACAACACTTCTACACAAAACAAACCACACCAAGACTAACAAACAACACACAAAAAAAGACAAAGTAAAACAGAAGAGCCAAACAAGAAAATAACCAACAAAGGACACCGCCAGAGGACTTGCTACAGCCTGCTCTACTGGAAGAGTACAGAACACTTGCCACTCCATCACAGCTCTGCTGACAATTACTATCTCTGGTACTCTTTTCTTGTTCAATGGACATAAATTCCTCGACCTCCAAAGTCATTATAGAATATATGTTAATAGTTGGATTCATGCTTTAGAGGTCTCAGTTTTTTCTATTACACAGACTTGTCACCACCATTGTTTAAAACTGCAATCTTCCACCTGAATGTCATCCCATTGGAAACGAGCCATCTTCCATACTCTTTTTGCCCTGCTACACTGAGAAGCACCTACACTATTGTTTAAAACTGCAATCTTCCACTTGAATGTCATCCCATTGAAGATGAGTGATCTTCCATACTCTTTTTGACCTGCTACATTGAAAAGCACTTCCATATGAATTGTTTCATTTTGCCTTGTACGCTAAGCCTCCAAATCCTCTCTCTGGCCACAACATCAAGTTTCCCTAAGTTGCTTCCTTCTGCAATATCCATATCCGAAGCCTTCTGCTCCACCAGATAGGCATAAAATGCAACTACAGAGAATTCCCCCATCTTATTCAACCTCCATCGCTATTTAAAAGAATTAAGAGTTTTGATTTCAAGAATGGTTGTATTATATGCTTCATTGAATACACTTCTTGTAACGCTCCGAATATTTTTAGTTTTATGGAACTCGACTTCATTTCCATAGATAGCAAATTCCCTTGTTTGAGGTAGTTATTTATTATTATGTATTAAACTGATTTATAGATTTTTAGTCTAAGCCATGGATAATTTATTCCATTTTAATTTTAAGATTCAAATTTTATGTAGCCCAAGTATCGGTTTTATTTTTATGAGACCGATCATTGGAAAAATTGAGGATTTTATTTAAGTCGGGTCGAAACTCGGATAACCCAAGCCTCGACCCAATTATTTTTCAAGCAAGTCCATTCATATTTGACCCCGTCATTCATTTTTTAATTCGGTCCTTATTTTAGTTGATTGAGTTAGAGGTTGAATCTTTCTGTGATATTTTATACAAAAATAATATATATGTTGAGGTTGTTGTGGTTAAAATTTCATTATTTTTGGAGATCGTTTGATATAGTTTAAAATTCAGGACTTTAGTCTTGATTTGCGGTATTTTTAGAAATTGTTCCTAATGCAAGTGTAAGCGTCCGGGTCCGGTTTGGAGTAGATCGATTCTTATCCTTGCCGGTAGAACGCCGAGAACCTGCAAATAACTCTCACACCGGGGGTTGGGTCCGATGAAGAGCCTCCGATGCTTAAGCCAGTATGTGTATGAATATACTGGAATTTAGAGAATGAATAGAATGTGTTAAGGAAGAAAGGCTCACCCCCTTTATATAGGGGTGAGATAGCTGCCCGGATAAGGCTAAGTTGGCTGCCCAAGCTGCCCGTCCGTACTTTGACACGCCGCGCACATGTCAGAGGTGGCGCAAGGCGTTGGGAGCTGTCAGAGGTGGTTATCGCTATCACCCAATACATCGTCGACACGTGTCCCTCCTACACATGGGATAAATATTCTCCTGAAGCTCAGTCAGAGACCCTCACGCGCGTCTGCTATACACGAGTCTAGGTTTCTGTCGATCAGCTTGCTCGATCACTCATCTGATTGATTGATGGGTAGCTCGATAAGTCTGATCGAGTGCCAGGCTACTCGATCGTCTGTGCGGTCGGGCCTTGGGCTGCCCGAGCGCCTGTGTGGTCGAGCCTTAGGTTGCTCGATCGCTTGTATTCTCGCCTTTGGGCTTGGTTTGCTCCCGGTCTGCTCTTTTCAACCGGCTCACCAGATCGGTTCGTCTTTAGACAGATAATATCCTATATCATCTAGTCCCCCCCACTCTGGTCGAGTCTGAATGACTCGATCTAAGAGTGAGTCCATGCTTATCGACCTCCTGGATGGTTCACCGTCCAATGTCGATCGCTAGCAAGTTTCCCGCTTATTCCTTTGAATATTTCCACATTAATTCCAGACTTAAAGTCACCTGCCCACGTCTTTCTTGTCGCGCCTACTTTTTCGCCACGCGTCCCACCTTTTCGTGTGTGTCAGATGCTTTAATGATGGCGTCCCCTCGCCTAACGTGCCCGTTTGGAGTACGGTGCAATTTAATATCTCCGCCGCACGATCTAGCTTTAATCCAACGGCCTTCCTTCTTCCCCTTTTAATTTTTCCCCAAGTATAAAATCAACACTTAGGAAATTTCAGACCTTTTTTCCACCTTCACCTATTTTCGAATTTCTCTGCAAATACCACTTAGTTCTTCGGCAATTCTTCTAGCCCTTCTCCGAATTTCCAGTGTTCGGCGACCCACGGTTATGAGTAAGATTCTTCAAACTTGACCTTGCATTCTCTATGGTTCTATTTTAGATGTTCTTGAGTTTATGGGCGCGTTGTTGAATCTCTGGTATGCCTTGTGTTGAATCCGTGCTTTAAGCGTTTTTATCTGTCTATTGGGTGTTATGAATTTTGTTTTTCTTCTGAAAATTTTCGAACTTTCTGCCTCCGCCCCTCTTAAGTTCCCCTTTTTGATTTTTTGGGTGTTGCCCTTTCTGGAAACCCTAGTTCTCCTTCTCTCCCCCTTTTCTCCTTTGTGACGGCTTCTTTTTGACATTATTTCCTTTGCTCTTATTTTTCCGGACTCTGAGACCTCCTCTGGTTCAGTCGAAATATTGTCGTCTGCACTTGAAGTGGTTCCTCTCTCTATTCTTCGCCCCGGCGATACCGTTCCTACTCGTGTTTTCACAGCTCGTGTTGCTTCCTCCAATTCCGGCGACACCATGGATAATGTTCCCCTTCGTAGCCGTCGACCTCCTCTTGGTGCGCTAGATGATCCAGAGGAGGACGAGGTTACTTCTTCACAGCCAACTGCTCCTTCCCCTTCTAATTCTCCCTCTAAACATTCCTCGACCAAGAAACTTCCCAAACGCTCATCTTCTACTACCCTTTCTCATCCCTGGTTTAAACCTGATAAGATCGGCCAACCTCTTGGTTGGGCGTTCATTAGATCTTCCCCTTCTGATCGGTATGATCAACCTCCTCGAGATGACAACGATCCAGGTAATTCTACACACAGTTGCTCGGTCGATTTGAGTGTCTCTACATACTTGTTCCTATATCGATGTAAATGCTAATGTCGATTTCACCCTGTTTGATGTGCTCGTGCAGAGGCTCCTAGCTTCAACATTCCTTTGAGGAAAGTGCCCTTGAAAAAGAAATCAGGGGCTGTCGCCGGATAGACCAGCGATAAGGTCGATGGCTCGACCAACTCCGACAGATCTCGGCCAGAGCCGCAACAGCCATCCCTCCCACAGCAAACTCCACTGCCTCCTCCGCGATCGCCCCCGCGACAAACTCCTCCTCCTCCGCCGCCGCCCAAGGGGACACAACAGCAGCAGCAACAGAAGCAGCCGCAACCACAACCACAACAACAACAACAACACCAATCGCAGCAACAAAAACAGCTCCAACAGCAACCGCCAAAACAACAACAGCAGAAACAACAACAGCAACAGCACAAATCCACCTCTCAATCGACCACCAAGTCCTCTACTTCCTCGAAAACCGTCGAGCACCAACCCAAGGGCGATGATCGTCAGAAGACCACCGACCATCATCAAAAAACGGACGACCGCTCTCAGAGGACAGGTCCTCGAGCTCCCAATCCCAAAGACCCTAAAAACCAAATTACCGATAAATCCTCCGAACCTCACACTTTCTCTAAAACCAAAACCCAAGA